ATATTCTCTGAATCTCTGGTTTTAAGTGAATAAAAATGCATTTGATAAATGTATTTGAAATCACAAAATTTAAGTAATATTAAAAAGTTCTGCATGCTTAATGATAGCATTGTAAGGAATTTGTAAAAGAAAATTATAAAGACATTAGAGGAAGGAAAATAAACTGATTTTGGTTATAAAAAATAATTTTAATGTATTCTTTCTGAACCATATTTGGAATTATGATCTTTGGATGATTATGGAAGATGCAAAATCTCATGTTATTTATATTTTAACATAAAAAGAATAAAATCACAAATTTTCTGGACACAAAGAAAAGTGACTTCTTGCATGATTTCACTAGGGAGGTACCACTACTGTGAGAAATATGGTCGTTGGTTTATGCCTGTGTTTGCTTTATCGTTATAGGAAAATGTTTACAATATACTATATGCAATTTTCACCTATGATATAGTCTGGATAATATTTTTTACAAAGTCATATGTAATTAAGAATAAGTATAAATTGATTTAACTCATAACTTCAAAGCTTTGAATCTTTGTATCAATAGAATATGTCATTTTTCTGTATTATAAATTTTAGGTAAAGTTGATCTGTTCTGTATAATTGTTCACTCCTTTAACTTTTTAGTTATAAAAAATTCAACACATAAATAAAAATTAAGAAAATAAGCCCAGTGTAGCTAATCCCCACATATAGCACTCCTCACTTTATCTCTGCTTCTAACCAAGTTTCACCTCCAAATGGATTATTTTGAAATTCCCTGCACCATATAATTTCATCACTAAATATTCTCTCATGATCTCTAAAAGAAAACAACTCAAACATAATCACAGTACCTGTAATATTTCATTCTGTACTTAAGTGTATTTATATTGATACAGACAGATACATTGACTTATTAACCATTTAAATACTACTAAAAATCAACACACCATAATTTTTTACTAAATCCCTAATAAAAAATTTTCCCTAATCAGTAGAGCAGTATAAACAAAGCATCATTTATGGGTAGAAATTCTCATATTTCACTAGACATTTCCAATTTTTTCACCCAAACACCTGCCTGGTTCATGTGCCTACCAGTAGTGAATGAGAGTACCCATCTGTCGTGATGATTTCTAATACCAATAGTGACCAATGTCTTCATCCCTGAGAACTGAAAGGATCTGAAATGGTATTGCAGCTTTCCTTTGCATTTGCATTCTTGCCATTGAAATAAATCGCATTTCCCAGTGGGTTACTTTGGTTTTCTAATAATTGAATTGCCTAGTCATATTTCTTATGTTTTCCTAATATGACATTTGTCTTATCATTTTACTTATATCCTAGTTAAAAGTATTGCAATATTTTTTTTCCAGTGGGTAGCTTGTCTCTTTGCTATGTTTGTTGTTATGTGTTGAACAACAACCACAACAAAAATTAACTTTGAATCATTAAAAAATGAGCATCTTTTCATTTATGGTTGACACTCAACCACTGAATTATGCTGGTTGGGCAGAATTCACTATCTTCGCTTATAAAGGACCATAGCAAAGAATAAATAAAAGTGTAATTATTTTTATAGTGGTTAAATGTATAATGTTAAATATACACCCTGAAACATTTTTAAGTGTATAGTTCAGTAGTGTTAAGTATATTCACAATATTGAGCAACAGATTTCTAGAACTTTCTCATTTTTGCAACACTGAAACTCTAACCTACTAAACACTAATTTCTCCTTCTTCCTTTCCCTCAGTTCTTGGCAATCTAATTTCTATTTTTTCCTTTTTATAACCTTGACCAATTTAGATGCTTAGAGTGAAATCATGTATTATTTGTTCTTTTGTGACTGGCTTATCACGTAGCATAATGTCTTAAAATTCATTCATGTTGTTGCATGTGACAATATTTCCCTCTCTTTGAAGGCCGAATAACTTTTTTTTATTACAGGTATATACCACTATTTAAAATCAATTTATCTGTTAATGAACATTTGGATTACTTCCACTTTTGGAATAGTGTGAATAATGCTGCAATGAACATGGGATGAAAATATATCTTCAAGGTCTTGCTTTGGAAATCTACCCAGATATAGGATTGTTAGATATTAGCTTTTTAAGAAACTCCTATGTTTTCTAACATACCTCTTTACATTCCCACCACCAACCTCCAATAAAAGATTAATTAAAAGGTAAAAATGCCTTACCATGTATTAACATATATTTTTAAATTATAATAGTTCAAATGGGATGACACTTCTAAAATGATCAGGAATATCAGTAGTATTAGAAATGGCATAATAATGACAACAGTCTCTGAACTATTTAGAAATTTTATACTACATTTCTAAACATGAATATGTTTTTGATTTTTAAAAAAGTTAAGAATGACTGCAATTAAGTGAAAGTGCTATACATCATAACAAATGATTCTAGACCTGAATGGTGCTAGGAAGTAAATTTAGTCTTAAGTGTTTTTACATCCATTGTAAGAAAATAAATTACTTAAGCATCTAGCTTAATAGGTCAGGTAAAGAGTAATATATCACAGGTAAGGACAACTTAGTTATAGCCTTCCCATCAGTGTGATGCTGCTCTCCCCGCCCCCCTTTTTTTTGTATCTGCTTTTCATTTTTATTTACTTTAGACATATTCACTCCTCGTAATTTTCTAGCCTCATCTAATGGAATTTACCTAAAAAGTTCTCTGCTCTCTTTCCATTTCGTCATTCATATCATCTTTTGCAGTCCAACTAAATATGCCTCCCTTTATGAATTATTCTTCAACAATAATCAGGTTATGGTAAAAGATTTATAGCATGGACTAATCCCAATGTATATTTAAAAATCAGTACTTAATTATGTCCACTCTAATTATATGTATGGCATCTCTAATTAGTTTAGTAGTTCTTCCACAGCCTTATCCTGATGGTTTCCTTGCACAGGTTATAAAGTGATTGGCAAAGAGTCTACTTTTAGAGAAGTACTAATGCATTTGTGATATGTCAATGATAATATTTTTCTAGATATGGAAAAAGAGATGGTGAATTGTACCAAAGGTCAGAAATAAAGCAATGGTTTTGTCCAAAGTCCAGAGAATTTATAATATTTCCAGATAAGCTATATCTATTTTTCCATTACTTGAACAAATTTCATTATCATTTGATGTTTCTTTGGGCCCTTCTGTTATCACGCAGGCTGTGATTCCATTGTATTTATTTTTCCACTTTATAGGATTTAATCTATCAAACATCTTGTTGTGCTAAAGGATGTTCAGTTATACTTTAAAACAAGAGCTAGGGTAGCCACCATTTGCAATTTTAAAATTATTTCTTCTTTCTCTACCATTCTTCCTTCCATCTTTTCCCCTCTCTCCTACTGATTAGCAAAACATTCCAAAAACACAGAAAATTCCAATTAATGTTTTGGGGAGAGCTGCATCCCCATTCATACACAAAAGATAATAGAGGGCACATATGAACAAGCATTCAGAAACAACCTGTTAATGGTCAGATAAGTACATTTAACAATGCTGCTCTCCTGAGCTAAGAAATGGCTGTTAGATAGTAATCTGGATAGATTGCCTGCTTGTCAAATCAAGGATTTTAGTTTTGTAATAAAGATAAGGGGACAATGCAGGATTTCCCTATGATGAGGTTAAATTAAGCTTTTTCTAAAGATTTTTATACTTCAAAGTGTCAAATAAAAAAATATGGAATTAAGTAAGAAGAGACAATACAAATGGGTTATGGCAAGAGGAGAGAATGGTATTTGCCACTGTGGGGAGACACTATCTCAGTAGGAAGAATACTTTGATCATAAATATTCTCAAGGATCTCAAAGGTTCAGCAGAAAAGAGAGAGGAGAGGTGTGAATGAGTCTACGAAGAATTGGACGTGGAAAAGTGGGATGAAAGGGGTGATCCACAGTTGGTCAAGAAATGTTTTACTTGATGGCAAGTGGGTTAGATTCATGATAAGTAAATTTCAAGTGTCTGGAAACAAGCTAAAATTTGATCAAACCAAGGTAGCAGGTATGTTGTCCAGGTTGGTCAGTAGGTACACACAATTCAGCTAACCATTTATGAAGCAAAGAATGGGAACTGGAGAGTCTTTGACCTTCTCAGGGTAAATAAAGGAAGCGTCCATAGTGTTGTTTAAGCAATATGGGAAGGATGGTTCCTTATTTTAAACTGTTTTTAGAACACAAAGAGATGGGGGAATATTTTTTTAAATGTTCATTGTATTTCAGGATCACAGGACTTGGATCAAGTTCAGGATTGTCAATTGCTTGAATATTGCAATTACCTGACAATTCTGAGACCTATACATAAATGGACAGCCCATATATGACAATAAAACTGACTCATGTTCTCAATAGAAACCAGGTAAGAAGACAAACCATACAGTGTAGCAATTGACCCACAATAATCAGGATTTGGTCAATGACCACACATTTCTTTATCATTTGCCTCTGGTCTCAACTCAGGACCAACCAGAGAAAGCCAATTAATCTCCTCACACCAATCACCTAGGACACTGTATCTCCAGCTTCCCTAAAACAATAATCTCTAATTAGAGCATTCCTGAATATTTCCCTTGTCTTTGTTGTTGTTATTTAATATATTTTATTGATTTTAGAGAGGAAGGGATATGTGTGTGTGTGTATATATATATATATATATATATATATATATATATATATAAACATCCATGATGAGAGAATCATTGGTCAGCTGTCTCCTGCATACCCCACACAGGGGATCAAGCCTGTAACCTGGGCACATGTTTTGAGTTGGAATCAAACCATAACCTCTTGGTTCATAGGTGGATGCTCAACCACTGAGCAACAATGGCAGGGCACTTCCCTTGCTTTTATCATAGATATTTCTCATTCCCCTGCCTACCTTTAAGTATCTTCACCAAACGCAAGTGCTAATCTGATGCCCTTGCTATCACAAGCTCTGAGTAAATTGCCCCAGATTGTTCTTATGTGGGTGATATTTGTTAATGTCCATAGTTTTCCTGGAGACACGATCTGCACAGCTTGTCAACACAGACCCCAGCCTTCAACCATGAGAGGTATCCAAAAGGTCACTTGTGCCTCGCTGCTCATGACTTCAAGAGTCCACACCAATGTGGTAAGTGCTGCTTTGAGTGTCTCTGCTATTTATCCTTAGTATGTTACTCCAGTTTTGTTATTGGGTCCCATTGGCTGTCATCTTTGGTGGAAACAAAGACATTCCTTTTGGTGCTTCTATTCTCTTTTGTGCTTGTTTTGTGTTGAGCTGTCTGAAAGTATTGATTATCATAGGAGAATCAAGGGCATAGGTGCTATCAGCCCATGGTTCAAGCTGACCTCAAGACTGTATATTTTTAAAGCATTTACTTGTTTGCTAGTTACCTTTCTTTCTTTTTCCTTTTTTCTTCTCATTCTTTTAAATTAAGGTATTATATGTGTACATACCTTACCAATCCTCACCCCACCGCCACTTCCATACATGCCTTCCCTACCCAGAGTTTTCGTCCATTGATTCTTTAAGATTTTTCATGTTTGAAAATTATAATTCTGAATATTTAGACATGAAGAGAAATTATTAGGTATGTGTATATTAACACAGTTTCATAGATTATAAAAGTCTTATTCAAAATTGGCAGAATTGAAACAGAATCTCTTCAAATTTTAATTTCACTTTCTGTTATAGACACATGAGGGCATTTACTTTAAGTCTTTTAAGTCATCTCTACAAAAAAAAACAATCTTGACAGTTATGTGGACAGCTACTTATTTACTTTGAGGCAAGAAATTGTTATCATCCTTGTCATACCCTAAATATCCTTTAAAATAGCCCATCTCCCTTCTGTCTTGTGTCATATTACTTGAAACCACACACACAGCATCCTTGATACCCATCATTACCATTTCATTCCTTTTAGTTTGACAGAGGTTTTGGTTATGTCTCACCTTGAATGAAAAATATGATCACATGAAGCATATGATGGAAGCTTATTAAGTGTTGGTACATTCAACCACATCATTGACATTTACCTTGAATGACAAGTGGTCAAATTACACAGTGTAATACTACTCAGCCATAAAACAGAAGGAAATATTGCTTTTTGCAACAGCATGGATGGATCTGGAGAGTATTATGCTAAGTGAAATAAGCCAGTCAGAGAAAGACAAGTCCCATATGATTTTACTTTTATGTTAATCTAATGAACAAAATAAACACTCATAGATACAGAGAACAGACTGACAGCTGTCAGAAGGTAAAGAGACTGGGTGGCTGGGTGGAAAGGTGACAAGATTTAGTAAAAACAAAACAAAACAAACAAACAAACAAAACCCTCATAGACAAAAACACTAGAGGGAAAGGAAGGTGGAGGAAGTGTAAGAGGTTAAAGGGGATAAATGGTGACTTCGGGTGGTGAACATACAATATAATATACAGAGGATATATTCTAGAATTGTACACCTGAATCTATATAATTTTATTAACCAATGTCACCCCAATACATTCAATAAATTTTTTAAATTGCAAAGTAAAAAGGTAGGGCTGGGATGAGACAGTTGAGTTCTTTGACTTTTCTCATGCTTTCAGAGTTTAGTGAAGTTGTTAAAATTATCTTCCTGCCAGCAAATTCCTTGTGGTCACGGCCACCCAAGAAACACCACTCAGTGGCATTTTCTCTGTGCTTCTGGATCCCTGTGAATGTGGGTATTATTGTTGTGCTGTTTCTATTGTCATTTTGTTTTATTTTAGCCTGTCTCTCACCGTCCTTATCCAGATGCCTTTATGTCTTTCTCAGTCATAATCCATTAGGTCCTGACATCCTTCAATGTCCCATTTAAGTTGGCAAATAGAGGATGACACTTTCATCATTAACATATAAAACACACTGGTGCTTGGTAGAGTGGCCACAATAACAAATGGGTGTTTGATGCCTGAGATATTTGAACAAGAACAGTTCATTTACATTAACAAATGATAGTCTCCCAAGTTCTAATTTAGCGCAACCAGGCCTAAGGAAATCAGAAAAGGAAGGAGAGAAATAGCTTGCGCGAGAATAATAGGAGAGACTTCATTCAGTGGGAAGTTAAGCAGGGCCTGAATTAGTAATGTTAAACACACTGGATAATTATGCATTAAAGGTAAATCAATAAAGTGGCAGAAAGCAAATAACATGGTGAGTGCTGGTGGGATAATAGTTATTGTTCTGGACCATTTAAGTGCAGTGCAGTTGAGGGAGAACTTTGCGAATTCAGAAGGTGTTTTTGGTTTTGAGGTTATTTTTAAGGAAAGGTACTTTTATGTTTTTTCCCCTCAAAATTAAGTGATGATTCCCATTTTGCAAGAGAAATTGGGTAAGGTCATGAAAAGTGATTCATATACAAGTTTAAGACCTTCCCCTTCTCCATGAAAATGTCCTTCTTCTACCCATTTTGTGTGTGTGTGTGTGTTTGCAAACTATGTATCAGGGTCATAAAAGTGAGTGGTAAGAGAACTTAAGAGTATGCTTTATGCTCAGATACTCATCTCTCACTTAAAACAATCTAGGAAAATAGGTATTGTATTCATTCCCATTTTAGAAACCAAGACTTGCAAAGCTTGAGGCATGCAAAACCTAAGTATCATCCACAGTTTGCAAAAGATTGAGCCAGAATTACCACTGTTTAGTCTGTCCTCAATAAATAATTAATTAATAAGTAAATAAACGTTCACTGCTAGGATTTGAGTTGGGCACTGAGTGTCGGTGGGGTAAGAGAGTGATTCCAATTTGCTTCATTCTATCACCACCCAAATAAGTCTCCCCATACTTATAAGCAGAGGATGAGGTTAAGAGCAGAGTCTGGAGCTAGACTACATAAGTAACGCCCAGCTCTTTTGCACACTAGCTATGTGAATCAGAGGAAGTTTACTTCATCTCTCTGTGTCTCAGTTTTCTGAGCTATAAAATGAGATAATATTGGTGACCACCTAATAGGATCATTGTGAGGATTAAATTTGTTCATATATTAAAATAATTACAAACAAATGCTTATATATGTTTGCTATTATTCCTTTTTCTTAGACAACTACAAATAGAAAACATATTTGTAGCTGATGAAATGCTTTATGATGTATCCTACTTCAATTAACATCTTATATTACTCTTGCACATATAAGTTTTGTATAATGTCTAAGACTTTCAAGGGTTATGAGAAATAGGTTGTCTTATACTTCATAGTCCTTCAAAAATTTGATCATGAAAACATTGTAGGCACTTTTAAAATGTAATTGGTTCTATATACTTTATATTTATGAACATTAATAATTGAAGTACCTGATGTCACATGTACCAAAGACATAGATTTTGGCATGAAAAGATTAAATCAGTATGATGGAGAGCATGATACAAAATGGACTAGATTTGACCTTCAACTTTGATACATGTTTTTAGACTATCAGTTCTACTTTTAGCTTTCTTGCTTCCATTATGGTAATAGTGGTGCAAAATGAATAGGGCTATTGTAAATTTGGAATGACTTTTATACATAGGCAAGAGTGTCATAAATGTTAGCTATTATCATTTGTGGTGGCTTTTTCCTCCCTTAAATTTCCACAGGTTAGACAGTTGGATGGTTTAAGGGAGGAAACATAATTTTCCATCTACCTCTCTGAGTTCTTAGCTGAGACTCCTGTAATAAAGGACAGATTTACAGGAGAAAAATAGGAGTTTATTAATATCTGTACCTCATGTATACTTGGTACATATGTGGGGTAGAATGAGTAACAACCTGAGATGCCTTAGAATTCAGACTTTAACAGCATCTTAATAAGGAAAGGGGAGGAGAGATATAGGTGCCTTAGGGTAGAGTAAATAATTACTAGGAAAAACAAATGGGCCCTTTGAATAATAGATGGGAACTGTGATAATTTCTGAGAAGGTTTGTCTGGGTGTGATATCACAGTTTCTAGAGTCCTCTCTAGCGAGGACTCTATCTTCCCTGATGGATATAACTTCTTGGGAAGGGATTTATGATGATTATTTTCCTGTTGGAGGACCTATCTTTAAGCAGATAAGGGGAGTTCAGAGAAAATCTCTTTCTCTCCTTTTGCTGTTTTTCAAGTGCCTACAGCTCAAAATAATCAATCAACACAAAGCTGCATGTATTGTGGTGGCATCTTCTGCTACCCTTCAACAAGGTAAGCCCTTCTTCTAGCTTTCATCTTGAAATTCATATCACTTACATATCCTTTGTGAATTCTACTAGAACATGTTCACGTACTTAGGGGAAACCACCAAGATATAACTACTCATGCACAGTAATACACACTCTAGCATCAGTTATTCTATGTCACCTTAGAAACCTAAGGCCCATTCACTCTGCATGTCTATACCTTTATGTTGAATTAAATTGATCTTTTGTTCACTTTCACTATCTTTCTTTCATAGAGGGAAATATTTTCTAAAATAGTGAATAAGAGGATATCTGAAGGATAAGTCACAGCCAACTGGTTAAAATTAGAATGAAAAAAAAATACTCAAGGCAGCTAATTCACATGTGCCAAAGGCCTTTGGATGAAGACAAAAGTACAAAAGGAACTGAAGTTGATAGAGAGGGCTGACACGGATAAATAACATCATAGTTCAAGATGATATTGTTTAGATTGCATCAACATTTTAAATTTACAAAGTGCTATATGACACAGTGGTACAAATAGCAAACTGAACAAGAGATAAAAACCTAAAAATATTTGCAACCATTATGTTCAGTGGAGGGTTATTTATTTATTTATTTATTTATTTTACTATTGACAGAGCTCTTACAAGGACATGTTACATTTTTTTATTAATACTATTTTTAAGCCTGGTCTGTGTTTTCCATTGGTTGAGCATCTGCCTATGAACCAGGAGGTTACAGTCAGGGCACATGCCCAGGTTGTAGGCTCAATCCCTATTAGGGGGTATGCAGAAGGCAGCCTATCAATGATTCTCTCTAATCATTGATGTTTATATCTCACTCTTCCTCTCCAGTTCTTTCTGAAATCAATAAAATATATACATATATTTCAAAAAGATGATTGTATGCCTTTTAAAAAGATCTTATATTCTCTTAACATGGGCCTTACCTGTGTCTTTTCTTCTTAACATA